TGACTAAAAGGGAGTCCCCTGTCCCTAGAAGTGTCCAAGCAGAAGCTGGATCGTCGCTGCCTGGGGATCAGAACAAACCCTCAGGGTTCCTCCAGTCCAACCATCCAGGTCTTACTGGGTTGAATCCAGGGAGGCCCTACTCACCTGGGCACCAAGTTAATGAGCAGCTCAGTTGGGTCCTTGTGGCCTAGAGATTTTTACTTCTAAGATTTTTTATTTTATTTTATTTTATTTGACAGGTAGAGTTGCAGACAGTGAGAGAGAGAGAGAGACACAGAGAGAAAGGTCTTCCTTCCGTTGGTTCACTCCCCAGATGGCTGCCACGGCTGGCGCTGCACTGATCCGAAGCCAGGAGCCAGGCGCTTCTCCTGGTCACCCATGCGGGTGCAGGGCCCAAGCACTTGGGCCATCCTCCACTGCACTCCCAGGCCACAGCAGAGAGCTGGACTGGAAGAGGAGCAACCAGGACTAGAACCCGGCGCCCATATGGGATGCCTGTGCCGCAGGCAGAGGATTAACGAAGTGAGCCACGGTGCCGGCCCTAGAGATTTTTACTTTAACATGCCCCCGGGACTTGTATGCCCAGCACGGATCTCACACACAGCCATTAAGCCCTGTCTTGGCATGGCCTTTCCCTGGGCTGCGGGTGGACAGGACCTGGTTCAGAGCTCTCTGGAGGCACCTGGCACCTGTGGCCTCTCGACCTGGCCTTTGCCACCATCCCCAGCCATAGGACTGGGCTCAGGTCTCCACATTCTGCAAGGAGCCCATTCTGGGGCATGGACCACAGGGTTTTTATTTTGATTTTGATTTATTGAAGGGAAGGGGCATCTTCCATCACCTGCTTCATGCCCACCCCACCCCTTCTGCCACTGCCCACAACAGCCAGGACTGGGCCAGACTGAAGCCAGGAGCCCAAAACCCCATCCAGGCCGCCCATAAGGGTGGCTGGGACCATCTTGTTGGGCCATTGTGCATCATATATGTGGGATGTGGTGTGTATGGTGAGTGTTTATAGTGTGCTTTGTGGTATACACAGGGGTGTGTGTTTGTGTTGTATGTGTGGTTTATGTGTTGGTGTGGGTTGCATGTGTGCTGTGTATGTGGAGTGCAGTGTGTATATATGTAGTGTGCGTGTGGCTTGTATGTGGAGTGCAGTGTGTATATATGTAGTGTGCGTGTGGCTTGTCTATGAGTTGCACTGCATGTGTAGGAGGTATGCAGAGTGTGGTATATGTGTGTGTTGAGTGGATGGTATGTGTACATGGTATGTGTGTGGTATGTTGGTATGTGAGTAGTGTGTATGAGTGTGGTGTGAGTGTATGGTGTGTATATGGAGTGTGGTGTGTGTACTTGCATGCATGGTGTATATGAGTCAAGTGTCGTGTGTGGTTGTGTGGAGTGTGGTATGGATGTGAGTACAGTGTCTGCAGTGTGTATGTGAGTGGTGTGTGTACATGAGAGTTGAGTGTGGTGTGGAGGTGAGGGTGGTGGGTGCAGAGTATGGTGCGGAGGTGAGGGTGTTGGGTGTGGAGGTGAGGGTGTTGGGTGTGGAGTGTGGTGTGGAGGTGAGGGTGGTGGGTGTGGAGTGTGGTATGGAGGTGAGGGTGGTGGGTGTGGAGTATGGTGCAGAGGAGAGGGTGTTGGGTGTGGAGGTGAGGGTGTTGGGTGTGGAGTGTGGTGTGGAGGTGAGGGTGTTGGGTGTGGAGTGTGGTGTGGAGGTGAGGGTGTTGGGTGTGGAGTGTGGTGTGGAGGTGAGGGTGGTGGGTGTGGAGTATGGTGTGGAGGTGAGGGTGTTGGGTGTGGAGGTGAGGGTGTTGGGTGTGGAGTGTGGTGTGGAGGTGAGGGTGTTGGGTGTGGAGTGTGGTGTGGTGGGTGTGGAGTGTGGTGTGGAGGTGAGGGTGTTGGGTGTGGAGTGTGGTGTGGAGGTGAGGCTGGTGGGTGTGGAGTGTGGTGTGGAGGTGAGGGTGTTGGGTGTGGAGTGTGGTGTGGAGGTGAGGCTGGTGGGTGTGGAGTGTGGTGTGGAGGTGAGGGTGTTGGGTGTGGAGTGTGGTGTGGAGGTGAGGGTGTTGGGTGTGGAGTGTGGTGTGGTGGGTGTGGAGTGTGGTGTGGAGGTGAGGGTGTTGGGTGTGGAGTGTGGTGTGGAGGTGAGGCTGGTGGGTGTGGAGTGTGGTGTGGAGGTGAGGGTGTTGGGTGTGGAGTGTGGTGCGGAGGTGAGGGTGGTGGTGTGGAGTGTGGTGTGGAGGTGAGGGTGGTGGTGTGGAGTGTGGTGTGGAGGTGAGGGTGTTGGGTGTGGAGTGTGGTGTGGAGGTGAGGGTGGTGGAGTGGAGTGTGGTGTGGAGGTGAGGGTGGTGGGTGTGGAGTGTGGTGTGGAGGTGAGGGTGGTGCGTGTGGAGGTGAGGGTGGTGGTGTGGAGTGTGGTGTGGAGGTGAGGGTGGTGGGTGTGGAGTGTGGTGTGGAGGTGAGTGTGGTGGGTGTGGAGTGTGGTGTGGAGATGAGTGTAGTGGTGTGGAGTGTGGTGTGGAGGTGAGGGTGGTGGTGTGGAGTGTGGTGTGGAGGTCAGTGTGGTGGTGGGAGGTGAGGGTGGAGGTGATAGCGCGCCGTGTGCCGCGTGGTGCAGGTGAGAACAGGACTAGCGTGGACGCTGAGGCACTGCGAGGCCAGGCGGCTGCCCCTGGGAAGCGGGATTCTGAGTGTGCACTTGTGGTGGCTGTGAGCGCGAGTCTCCCTGGGGTTCCGGGAGCGGCTGCGCGGGGCCGCGGGGTCTGAGGCGGCAGAGGCGGGCGCGGGGCGGGAAGGGCGGGCGCAGGCAGCCAGGCGCCGGCCGGCCGCGTGCGAATTCCAGCCTCCAGCCCCCAGCCCCGTCGCTTCCGGCGTCAGGTGGCAGGGCACGCTGGAGGCCTTTGAGTCGGTGGATCCGGAAGGCTCCCGAAGGTCTGGGGTGCGGGAGGAAGGCCGGGCCTGGAGTGGAACCCGCGGCCTCTCGGTGCCGCCTCCTTTGGGAGAGAATAAATCCCAGGCAGGCTTCGGGGCGTCTGGGAGCCTGGGGCCGTGAGCCTGCAACGCCACCTGGGGGCGGCGAGAAGAACGGCCGCGGAGCCACGCACACTGCGACTTGGCGGATCCAGCAGGTCCTCGCCCTGGTTAGGGGTCACCTCTCCTACGCTGACACCTCCCCCCCACCCAAGGAGGATGCCCAATTCCTTGGAAGTTGCTAGGCATCCATCAGTTGGCAAGAAACACTCCCCCAACTCCAAAGAAAAGCATAGGTTTCCCTTGAGATTGCCTTGCCCAAGATCTCAGGGTGACGGAGAGCCGTGGCTCCCACCCTCCCTGCCCTGCTGTTTGTCAGTGTGGCTGTTTCACCTAGAGGCGGTAGTCCTTTAAGATGTGTGGAATATTAAACACGGGAAGGCGGCGGAGCCTGCTGGCCTACTTAACAGGTGAGGAGACTGAGGCTCAGAGAGGCTGCGTCCCCTGACTCCCAGCCCAGTGCTCTTCCACTCCTGTGCTCTCCAGCGCCTGGCCGGCCCTGTGCAGAGGGTCCCCCAGTGACAGAGAACAGAGGGACTTGTGATCTGGGCAGAGGGCCCAGAACTGAAGCAAGAGGAGCACGCAGCTGGTAAGCGTGAGCCCAGGCAGCGACCACTGAGGAAGCACCTGGCCGCCAAGGTCCTGGGGCTGAATCCTGGGCCTGGGAGGAATGAGGCCGGGCGGCCCCTGGAAGGCTCCGGAGTTCATCGTGCAAACTACAGTTTCCATGGAGCAAAGGGGGTGGGTAAATGTCACACCTGAACTTGACCATGGCCTGGCTAGAGCAGGCCCTGGGCCTCCGGCGTGTCCTGCCTTGCAGCCTTTGCTTCCACCTCCAGGAGCGCCTGCAGCGCCTCTCTCCTGGGGAGCAGGAGCTAGGCTCGCTGTGGGCAGGAGGGGTGGGCCAGCACCTGCAGTGGGGGCTTGCACAGAGGCTGGAAGAGACCCAGAGGCTGGAAGACAGGTCGAGTCCTTGTGGGCAGGCCTGGCCTCTCTTGAGGGCTGCAAGGGAGGCGTGTCCCAGGCCTCTCTCCTTGGCTGGCAGCTGGGCTCTCCTGCCAGCGTCTCTCGGCTCACGGCCTCGCTTCTGCATGCCTGTCTCTGCACTCCCCTTTCTTCTAGGGGCATCCGTCCATCGTGTTGGATGAGGGCTCACCCGCATGGTCTCGTTTTGGCCTGATTGCCCTTCTAAAGTGCCTGTCAGCCGGCGTTGTAGCGTCACAGGTGAAGCCACCACCTGCATCGCTGGTATTCCAGGTGGGTGCTGGTTCGAGTCCCAGCTGCTCCATTTCTGCAGCTCCCTGGGAAGGCAGCGGAGGATGGCAGGAGTTCTTGGGGCCCTGCATCCATGTGGGAGACCTGGAAGAAGCTCCTGGCTCCCAGCTTTGGCCTGGCCCAGCTCCCACTGTTGTTGCCATTTGAGGAATGAACCAGCAGATGGAAGAGTGCTCTCTCTCTCTAACTCTGCCTTTCAAATAAACATATAAATCTATTTATTTGAAAGGCAGAGTTACAGAGAGAGAGAAGAAGAGGGAGAGAGAGAGAGAGGTCTTCCATCCACTGGTTCATTTCCCAAATGGCAGGAGCTACGCTGATCCGAGCCAGGAGCCAGGAGCTTCCCCCAGGTCTCCCACGTGGGCACAGGGGCCCAAGGACTTGGGCCATCCTCCACTGCTCTCCCAGGCCATAGCAGAGAGCTGGATTGGAAGTGGAACAGCTGGGCCTCGAACCGGCACCCATATGGGATGCCAGCACTGCAGGCGGCGGCTTTACCCGCTATACCATAGCACCGGCCCTTAAACCTATAAATCTTAAAAAAAAAAAAAAAAAAAAAAAAAGGATCCTGTTCTGCCGTGTAAGTTTACAGCATGAAGATTGCAGTGTAAGGACCAGGGGGCGCACACACCAGACATCGTGTTTCCCAGTACCTTGATCTTCTTCTTGCCCATCTACAGAACTGTGAACAATAAAGTTCTGTTGTTTATAAACTTTAAAAAAAAAAAGGCTGTTTCCAAATAAGGTTGCATTTTGAGGTGCGGCGCGGGGAGGCAGGAAGGTGTTGGGCTCAGGCCTCAACCTGAGAATTTGGAGGACGGGTCTAGCTCTACCCATGAGGATGCGTGGTTCTAGTCCCAGCAGCCACTGTGCTTTTCCTTCCGCTAAATGGAGTCTGGACCCTGACAGAGATGGGACTTTGACTGGACGAGGCCTGAAGGACAGCGAGCAGAGGTTTCAGGGGTGTGGGCGATGGAGGAGGCAGCCCTGTAGGGACACGACTCTGGGAGAAAGATCAGAGCTGTGGGCGACAAAGGCGTGGAGGGTGGGTTTTGCTGTTTGGGGCAGGAGGAAAATGTTCCTTCCACCCCCTGGGAGCCCTTTAGCAAGGACCACCTTGCTTATCCCTAGATGGGACTTCACACCAACACGGCACGGTGGCAGGCGCACACAGCGCCCAGGCACCCGCATCCCTACCAAGCGGCTAGAAGGTAGACGGCAAGGGGGACCCACATGCTGTATTTCTTGGTTTTGGAGAAGTTCACTCTAAGGTCCCTTCAAGCTTCTCCCTCCTCAAAAGTGTTGGTCCTGGGGTTTGGAAGTCACTAGAAGGGCCCATGTTTAGCAAGGCTCGCTGTTGCTTCCCTTGGTGTCAGGACAGTGAAGGCTGAGGTGTTCGGCCCTGCAGTCAGATGTGAAGCAGGCTGCTCTGAGCGCCTGTGTGCTTTAGACGCCAAAGAAATGGAATTTGCCTGGTTGTCTCTGCGAGTCTCTTCCCACGTCATAAATTCTGCTCTGAGCCGACGAGCTTGCTTTCAGGAACAGCGTGTTGGAGATGGGTTGTAACGGTTTAGGGAACAACAGGTTCACGATCCCTAGACAGAATGACGACACACACTTCTGAGTCAGGGCCACGCTGGGGGGACAAGCCGTCCACCTGGCGGAAGGCTGGAGCTGGGCCACAGCGGAGCAGAGGGCCGGGGTGGACAGCTGCACCAGGGCTGCTATAAACGCAGGGAGGGGCAGTGGGGGCCGCAGTGGGGAGGGACCCTCCTGGGGGCCATTCCAGGAAATTAAGTCTATTGGCAAGGGCCACTGGAGACGGCTGCTGGCTCCTGCCACACTGGGGATTGGGTGCTGCTGCCAGCTCTGGCCTCCGAGGGCCATGGGGCCCTGGGGTGTTGTTAAAGAAGAAACTTGGGCACGATCCTTGGAAAAACCGGCAAGGCAGACTTTTTGGGAGAAAGCTTCAAGAGTGGCTGCACTGCCACGGGGTCTCGCGGCCCTGGGGCGTGGGGAGTGGGGCGCAGCTCAGCCCACTCCAGCAGGGCCAAGTGGGGTTTCTAGCCGCGGAGCAGGCTGGGAGCCAGCGGATGGGAAATGACTGAGAGCAGACCCCAGGACACGGGGGGACTTTGCTAGACGAGCTCAACAGAATTCTGGCAGAAGGCTGGCCACGGTGAGAGGGCATGGGGGGTGGTCAGATGCCCGGGGGGGGGGGGCAGGGGATGCTTGTGCTAAGCTGACTCAGCAGGATTCTTGCTCACACGGGACTCTGTAAGATCAGAAAAAGGAGGCGCAGGGCAGGCCAGGTAAGCTGAGACCAGAAGGACCGAGGACGTCCCGGTCAAAGGCGAGAGTTTTGTCAGTGTCCAGGGTGTCTGATTCTGCAGCACCACCAGCGCTCCCATTTTGCAGATGAGAGAATTGAGGTTCGAGAAGTTGGGGCTTCCTGATGCACGAGACATAGATGGCAGAGGCGGAATGTGCAGCCCAGTGCCTCTGCTATCATTTCCCTTCCGTTGAACACGTGCTTTGTCCTAGGCCTCAGCGTGGCCCCACGGAAGAAACAGAGACACGTAGAGGTCACGGCTCTAGAGCAATTGTCAGAGCTGGGCTTGGAACTTGGGCCCCCTGACTTCCTGGTCCCTGTTCTTCCCAGGGTGTAGCTCACCCCAATCCCTGCGCACAGAGGGAAACCCTCGTAACACCCCAGGTGGGGTAAGACCAGCACCACCCTTACAGAAACACCGGGTCAATCTGCCTTCTTTCTTATGAGGTTGTTGTCATTGCAATTTGCCCTGGGGTATATTTGGGCCATTTTTTTCATGGGAGATCTGCGCTGTGTTTGATATTTTAGGTATATTTTTGGAACTCAAATCTGCTGCCTTTTTTTTTTTTTTAATGAGAGAGCGACAGAGATGGGGAGTAGGGGAGATTTCTCATCTGCTTGTTCACTCCCCAAACACCAGCATCAGCCAGGGGCTGCAGAACTCCATCCAGGTCTCCCAAGTGGGTGGCAGGGACCCAGGCACCTGAGCCATCACCTGCCCGTTAGGGTCTGTACTGCCAGGAAGCTGGAACTGGAACCAGAGCCAGGACTCAAGTGCAAGTCCTTCAGTGTGGGATGCAGGCATCCTAATGGCTAAGCCAAACAGGCCCTCCGATGAGCGCAACCCTCAGCCTCCCAGCGGCCAGCATCGACTGTTTGTGCCTGGAAATGAAGACTTAAAATGCCTCCAGCAGGCCTGGGAGCCTCTGGCGATTGTCCCCCGCGCCGGCTCCGGTGCGTGCAGGGGCGGCTTAGGAGTTCGCCATTTCCCGTGGTGCTGCTGGGCGACGAATGCGGCTTTGCATTTTCTTCTTCTTCTTTTTTTTTTTTTTTTTTTTTTTCCAGGCTTGCTTTTAATGAAAAAAGCTGGCAGTTGGCAAGAGCGCTGGAGCTTTTTCGTGGGGCTGCTATAATGAGGTTCGCTGAGATTCCGGGGAGGAACTCTTTCCCTCCAAGGGCGCAGATGCAGGGGTTTCAACTTTTGTGATGTCTGCCGCCTTTTTCTTTGGGGCCAGCTGGGTTTGCCTGTTCAAAGATGTCAGCCCCAGCCTGGCCAAGTTTGGAGTTTACAGCTCCCCTGTTAGTGACTTACGTGAGTGTAAAAATAGGTCAAGTGTTTTTTCTTCCTTCTCTTTTAAAGAAGAAGTGTGTGTGTGTGTGTGTGTGTGTGTGTTCAACATCTCCTCCGTCAAAAACAGTTGAAGCAATTTTCAGCTCATTTTTTTCCCCCAAAAGAGTCACTCCAAGTCTGACTCAGATCATGGAACACTTCATGGAAAAAATGTTTCCATGAAAGTTAAGTGCAATTAACGAGGAGGGAGCCGGTGGGAGAAAGTCCCCCCCCCCCCAGTGCTCCCTGTGGTGTGCCTGGCACACACACGTAACACGTAACACACCTAACACATCCCCTGTCTGGCCACCCCGCTTCACACAGTTAGGAGAAGTGAACATTTCTTTCCATGACGAATGTGTATGGCTTCATTTTCCCAGCTGAAACTTCAAACAAGATGACTTTCTCTACACACACACACTTTCCTAAAATCAAGTAAAACAGGGCATCCGCTCAGCACGAGTGAGTGCACTGTGTCCCAGCAGGGTGTGGGTGAGAGCCTGGATGCCGAGCCCTCTGCGCGCTCTGCCCTGCAGCCGGGTCCAGGCAGCTCTGCCAAGGCTAGCAGTTTGCTCGTTTGGCGTTTGGCTTCTCCTTCTTCCAAGTTCAGAAGTATCCTTGTGGCCTTGTCCAGAAACGTGGCCAGGGTGTTGGAGTGGGGGTGGGGGTCTCTGAGTCCGTCCTGCCACACACCCCTCGGCCCCACACCCCTTTGCTCCGCAGGGTGCCACCCGCACACTTCATCCTCACCCCAGCTGCTGCCCTTTTGCTTGAAATGCTGGCAAGAGTTGGCGTGTGATGAGCACCCGGCGACAGTCACGCCCACAGGGGCATCTCGCTGAGTGCGCACAGACCATTGACTCCAGCACTCACACTGCCCTGCTTTTCTGGATGGGGAAACTGAAGCCCACAGCGGCTGGTGTCAGGTCCCCCCAGCCTGCTGCAGCTCCCTCCTGGCTGCTGGCTTGCCCTGTGTCAGTGCCTCTCTTCCTGACCCCAGAGCTGCCGCCTGCCCGTAGCCATGCTCCCTCTGTCACGGCTCATTCTCTCTGCGCTCATCCCTTTCTGTAGGAATTCTCCCCAAAAAATCAGGATTATGAATGAAAAGCCTCAGTTCCGAGGCAGCCTCTCTACAGCTACCCCCTTGCTGCCACGGGCTTATTGCTTCCACACGATACTTGGGTCTCGGCCCTTCCGGCTGAAAACCCTTCCCAGACATCTCTTTGTTCTTAGACGTTCTTAGGACGTCTAAACTCTTAGCTTGGAGGTGATCTTGGCCGTCACCGTGAACCCTGCTCTTCCCACTCCTGGGACCCAGCCCCTGGCAGCACGCAGGTGCAAAGTGGGTGCTGTGCAGACCTTGGCGGGAAGCGGGGCACAGACGAAGGGGGGCGCACAAGGGCAGGGCCCCTGCAGATGGGTGTGAGGCTCAACCCTGCAGGGCAGTGAGTCTCTCGCGTGACAATCGTCACAGCGAAGCTGCACCTCTCCCGTGGTCCTGGGTCCAAGGACTGCTCTGCCTCCTTCACCTCCGGAGGCCTCCCCCCAGCTCCCCTCCCAGCCCGGAGCTCCGGGGAGTAGCTCCACCTCCAGGAGGTGGCCCAGGCACGGCCTGCTCAGGAACGGCTCCAGGAGCCAAGGTACGGGTTCTGCACTTCATTCTGAATTTTATCCTAGAGACAGGCAGCTCCCACGTGCAAACTCTGGGCCAGAGGGTGTCCCGGACGCATTTGTGATGGGAATGGTGCCAACCACCGCTGTGTGGAAGAGTGATAAGAAGGCGGGAGAAGTGCTCAGAGCACCTATGCAAAATCCAGGCAGCCAAAACACACACACACACACACACAACACACTGACATGGAGCCGGCCCGGAGAGCACGGAGCTGCTGGTCTGCAGCCTGATCCAGGCCACGGGAGCCTCCCGAAGCTCCTCCCTCGTCCGAGCCTGCAGCCAAGGTTGGGCCGTCTGGTTTAGAGAGGTCCTCCTTAACTGCGATGCACAGGAGATCCACTCGGGGCCACCTTTACACAGCGTCCAGGTGCTGCCTCTGGGGTCCCAGATTTAAGGTGTCTGGGTGTTGATCATTTTGAAAAGCTCTCCAGGGGATTCTGATGTGGGCCCAGGGCTGAGAACCACCCAGTGGGGGGGAGGGACATTTCTGGAGGGAGGAGCCAGGGGGCCCCATATTGGAGTGCGTTGGAGGGTCTTGGCAGGAGAGGAGGGCAATTGTGCCCCACTTCCTGTCTTGGTCAAGAGGCAATGCTCCCACCCCCACCCCCCCACCTGCCCAGGCTGGGATCAGCTCTCTCAGTCTTAGCTCAAATCCTAAATTGGCTGCTGCCTGCAGTCCTGGCACACGGGGAACAGTCAACATCCTAGGTGTGTTGTATTTTTAAGAAAACCAAGGCCAGCGCCGCGGCTCACTAGGCTAATCTTCCACCTTGCAGCGCCAGCACACCGGGTTCTAGTCCCGGTCGGGGCGCCGGATTCTGTCCCAGTTGCCCCTCTTCCAGGCCAGCTCTCTGCTATGGCCAGGGAGTGCAGTGGAGGATGGCCCAAGTACTTGGGCCCTGCACCCCATGGGAAACCAGGAAAAGCACCTGGCTCCTGCCATCGGATCAGTGCGGTGTGCCAGCCGCGGCGGCCATTGGAGGGTGAACCAACGGCAAAGGAAGACCTTTCTCTCTGTCTCTCTCTCTCATTGTCTAACTCTGCCTGTCAAAAAAAAGAAAAGAAAACCAGAGGGCTGACACTGGGGCATCGCAGATAAAGCTGCTTCCTATGTGGGTGCTGGCATCTCATATGGGTGCTGGTTTCAGTCCCAGCTGCTCCACTTCTGATCCAACTCCCCGCTAACATGCCTGGGAAAGCAGTGGAGGATGGCCCAAGTGCTTGAGCCCCTGCACCCATGGGGAGACCCGGAGGAAGCTCCCGGCTCCTGGCTTTGGTCTGGCCCAGCCCCTGCTCTTGCAGCCATTTAGAGAGTGAACCAGCAGATGGAAGATCTTTCTCTGTCTCTCCCCCTCTCTCTATAACTTTGCCTTTCAAATAAATAAAATCAAATATTTAAAAATAAAGAGGAAAGAAAACTGGGTGTTTCTGTCTCCTTAAGTCTGAAAGACCTGCTGAGCCTTTGAAAACGCTGCCCTAAGGGACTCAGGCTGAGTCCTGCATGAGGAAGGGACTGGACCAAAGCTTCAGGACGTGGGGCCTCTGAGACCCTCAGTGTGACAAGAGGGGGTGGCAGCGTGGATGGGGCTGGGCGAGGAGCTGAGCGCCAAGGAGATCAAAGAGTTCACACATGGGGGTGGTTTTCACTCCTGCAGCTCAACAATTCGGAAACACATTCCTTTAAAAAAAAAGTTTTATTTATTTTTCTGAAGGACAGAGTGACAAAGAGAGGGAGAAGAGAGAGAGCGCGAGCTCTCATTGGCTGGTTCCCTCCCCTGGGTGCCCACAACAGCCAGGGCTGGGCCAGGCTGAAGCCGGGAGCCAGGAACTCCGTGGATGGCCCGGGTGGGTAGCAGGAAGCCAGCTACTTGAGCTGCCATCCACTACCTCCCAGGCACAGGAAGCTGCGTCAGAAGGGGAGGAGCCAGGACTCAAACCAGGCACCCTGCGATGGAGTGAAGGCCTACGCACACTTCCTTCACCTGCTGCACCACAACTCCCGGCCTCACATTTGTCACATTGAACACGCAGGATCCTGGTACAAATGTCGCTGTTGAAATGGCAGTGTTCGTATTGATTCCCTCCAATGAAAAAGCATCTTGAGTCAATGACAGCTTACTTTTTTTTTTTTTTTTTTAAGATTTACTTATTTATTTATTTGAAAGTCAGAGTTACAGAGAGAGAGAATCTTCCATCCGCTGGTCCCAATCGGCCGTTGTGGCTGGAGCTGTGCTGATCTGAGGCCAGGAGCCAGGAGCTTCCTCCAGGTCTCCCACGCGGGTGCAGGGGCCCAAGGACTTGGGCCATCCTTTACTGCTTTCCCAGGCCACAGCAGACAGCTGGATCGGAAGAGGAGCAGCCAGGACTAGAACTGGCACCCATATTAGGATGCCAGCACTTGAGGCCAGGGCGTTAACCCACTGCGCCACAGCGCCGGCCCAGACAGCTTACTTTCACTTTCACTTTTATAACCAACTTGGAAATTTACTGAACAAGATGTCCCACTGTCCAGGTACATCGTCGTCAGGTATCATTGAGATGACAAACCTGCCAACTGAGAACTCCCGTGTGGGCTGGGGAAGTGGCTCATCCACTTTTGACGCCCTGTGGCGTCAGGTGGATTTCTACCTGCAGCTCATTGTGGAGATGTTGCCCCGATGGCACCCAGGAGGTGCTGTTCCCAGGGTTCTGGGCGAGCACCTGCTGCCCCTGCTGCCTGTCCTGTCACTGCTACAGGAACTCCGCTTACTTTCATGAACTAGGGATTTGGGTGAGCTTGGGCTGTAGAAAGCGGAGCTCACTGGGCAGGTGCTAGGGTTCATCCACACCGGCCATGATGATAGCAGAGATGGGGGCACCGTAGAAGGAGGCCAGGCAAAGAAGTCCTGCAGGCCACTGCTGTGTTCTCCAGGGACGTGCTGCATTCCCGGGCATATTGTTTACTTCTGCGCCACAGCTCAGGGCCACTAACTGGAACCTGCTAGCAGCAGCCCACATGGTTAACACAGCCAATTCCTTAAACACAGCCCCTCCCCCGCCCCCCACCGCCTTTGTTTTGTCTGCTCGGTGCCCGCCTGCTTTGCCTAATCCATAAAGCTGTTCCCAGCGCCTTCCATGATGGACAACCAGGGGCTACAGAAGACCCTAAATGGCCTGTGCCCTTGGGAGCTCTCTGGCCCACAGACTCCCCACCAGGCTGTGGAGTGAAGTTGCCTCGTCGTTTTTCCCTTCTGGCCCGTGGCCCTGGGCCCTCTCGGGAGGGTCTCCTGCTCTTCCACGCAACCTGTCCAAGCATCCTCCCCCTCCCCATAGGTTTGCTGAGCGCTACTGCCATCTGGTGGTCTGCTCTTTTTCCTGTTTCTGCCCCTCAATTCTCAGATTCCTCAGGGTGTGAATGTGTAAATAGATTAAATTCATCTGAGACACAGACTTATCAAGGGGCTACACTGCAGCCTGCTATGTCTGGGTTAAGAGGCGTGGCTAGGGGCCGGCACTGTGGCGCAGTAGATTAATCCTCCGCCTGCAGTGCCAGCATCCCATATGGGCACTGGTTTGTGTCCTGGCTGCTCCTCTTCCAATCCAGCTCTCTGCTATGGCCTGGGAAAGCAGTAAAAGACAGCCCAAGTCCTTGGACCCCTGCACCCATGTGGGAGACTCAGAAGAAGCCCCTGGCTCCAGGCTTCGGATCAGCAGAGCTCCGGCCGTTGCGGTCAATTGGGGAGTGAACCAGCAGCTGGAAGACCTCTCTCTCTGTCTTTCCCTGCCTCTCCCTGCCTCTCCTTCTCTCCATGTAACTCTGGCTTTCAAGTAAATAAATAAATCTTTTAAAAAAAGAAAGAAAAGAAAAACACTTGCTTATTGGTTTCTTTTTCAGAGGCATCTTTTTTAGAGGCATCGCCTACACCCCCCAAAAGTCGGATTTACCCCAGCAACAAAGACCTGGGGAATGGGAGGCAGTGACGCGGAAGCCAGGGGGACCTAGGTAGCCACCTCCCCGTCTCTGCACCACCACACACTAAGGTGCAGTCGTTCTGTGCCAAGAACTCTGCTGCTCCCACCGACCTTTCACTCCTAGGACAAACCACCACAAACCAAACCTGCAGCTCCCAGGGGTTAACTGGACCGCAACTCGGTCTTCTGATTCCAAGCCCAGAGTTGACTTCCAAGCTGTTTCTGGAGACGCTGCCAGTAAGGGAGCTCCTGCCCCAAGGCTCATTTTGGGTGCTGCAGCCTGAGCTGGGCTGGGGAAGCTGCCTTCACCAGCCAGGGTCTCCCCCACATCAGCTTCTCTTCTCTGTTTGGCACCAATGCCTGATGTCTTTCTTAGAAGCACCACCAGGGGTTCCGAGTTCCCTCTCCAAGAAGGTTCTCTTGTTTTCACACAGGCCAGAGCTCAGAAACCACTAGTGACTTCTTGGTGCAAATGCCTCCAGGCTTGGCATGACCTGCAGGCCCGGAAGGCTCTGGCTGTGTGGCACAGCTGCGTCTGGGGAAAGCAGGGGAGTCGATGAATGGTCAAAGTCATTGGGAAAAACCATGAAGGTGGCCCCACGTGTTAGGCCCTGGAGGCTACTTGGCCAGCAAACCCAGATCAGCGCAGCAGAAACACGTCCCAGTCTCCACCCCGCCAAAGCACCTGCTTCCTGGAGAGCAGCCGGCCCGATGCGACAGATGTCATGGGTTCTGATCACAGCTCCACGAGGCCACCTTCCTGGGGAGGAGGCAGGGAAGCAGGGGCCTGTGCAGGGGAGTGGCCCGAGCCAGGGGGAGAAACGCGATTTTCGCCTGCGGCATCAGACCCCCAAGTTTCAGGACCCCTTGCCACTTGCCTGGATGGTGCCTGGGACTGCCACACGAGCCTTAGCGAGCTCTTTCCGTGGAATTTTCTGTAAGATAGAAATGTTTAATTTCTTAAAAAGACTATCTAAATAGAAATTACTGCGTTCATTGAGAAATAAAATATTTAATTGCAAAGTAAAACAAATTAAAAAATTCCTTTAATCTCAAGATTCCTTTAATCTCAAGAAAAATAAAATGGAGCAAAACATGTTACATATATACATATGTATACACACATATATATGTCTTATTCTCATGTCTGTTCACTTATTGTGATAATTTTGTGGGTCTTTGTTGATGGTTTAAAAGTCTGGCTATTTCTTTTTATATTCTCTGTCTTCTGCCAAAGAGCAAAGTTATCACTTCAGTTTCATGTAATTATGTATCTATTATTTACTTTTTTTTTTTTTTTTTGGCCTATTAGAAGTATTGTCAGCCGGCGCCGTGGCTCTCTAGGCTAATCCTCTGCCTGCGGCACCGGCACCCCAGGTTCTAGTCCTGGTTAGGGCACTGGATTCTGTCCCGGTTGCTCCTCTTCCAGTCCAGCTCTCTGCTGTGGCCCGGGAGTGCAGTGGAGGATGGCCCAAGTGCTTGGGCCCTGCACCCATGGGAGACCAGGAGGAAGCACCTGGCTCCTGGCTTCTGATCGGCGCAGAGCGCCAGCCATAGCGGCCATTTGGGGTTGAACCAATGGAAGGAAGACCTTTCTCTCTGTCTCTCTCTCTCTCTCACTGTCTATAACTCTCTCTCTGTCTCTCTCACACTGTCTAACTCTGCCTGGCAAAAAAAAAAAAAAAGAAGAAGTATTGTCAATGAAGTGTGTGCAGAGTTAAGCATTAATTAACACCAAGGCTGATGATGGAAACTTGCAGTCTCCTGGCCTCCCCAGGCCATCTACCAAAGCCCCCACATAACCACTTGTGTTTTCCTCTGGTTGTGCAGAGCAAGGAAACACAGTTGGACCAGAGGCCGTCCCTAACAAAACAAGGTATCTGGGGGAGATGGTTCCATCCATTCTGCCTGAATCGGTTTACTACACATCTTCTATTTCTGTAACAGATAAAAACTCTACCTGGGGCCCAGCGCTGTGGTGTAGCAGATAAAGCTGTCGCCTGCAGTGCCGACATCCTGTATGGGCAGTGGTTCAAGTCCCGGCTGCTCCACTTCCAATCCCGCTCTCTGCTGTGGCCTGGGAAAGCAGTGGAAGATGGTCCAAGTCCTTGGGCCCCTGCACCTGCATGGGAGACACAGAAGAAGCTCCTGGCTCCTGGCTTCAGATCGGCAGAGCTCCAGCCATTGCAGCCAATCGGGGAGTGAACCAGCAGATGGAAGACCTCTCTCTCTCTCTCTCTATATATATATATATCTCTGTTACTCTGACTTTCAAATAAATAAATAAATCTTAAAAAAACACCCTACCTGCTTCCTTTTTTAAAGATTTATTTATTTATAAGTCAGAATTACAGAGAGAGAGGGAGGGAAAGACAGAGAGAGAGAGAGAGAGATGAGAGATCTTCCATCTGCTAGTTCACTCCTCAAAGGGCTACAACAGTTGGAGCTGGGCCAGGCCTAAGCCAGGAGCCAGGAGCTTCTTCTAGGTCTCTCATGCAGGTGCAGGGACCCAAGGACTTGGGCCATCTTCTGCTTTCCCAGGCCATAGCAGAAAGCTGGATCGGAAGTGGAGTAGCCGGGACCTGAATTGGCATCCATATGGGATGGTGGCATGGCAGGCGGCAGCTTTACCTGCTACACCACAGCGGGGGCCCCTGCAATGTGTTTTTTTTTTTTTTTATTTGACAGGTAGAGTTATAGACAGTGAGAGAGAGAAAGACAGAGAGAAAGGTTTTCCTTCCGTTGGTTCACTCCCCAAATGGCCGCCCCAAATGGTGCTGCGCCAATCCGAAGCCAGGAGCCAGGTGCCTCCTCCTGGTCTCCCATGCAGGTACAGGAACCCAAGCACTTGGGCCATCCTCCATTGCCCTCCCGGGCCACAGCAGAGAGCTGGACTGGAAGAGGAGCAACCGAGACTAGAACCTGGCACCCATATAGGATGCCGGCACTGCAGGCTGAGGATTAACCAAGTGAGTCACAGTGTTGGCCTGCAATGTGGTTTTAATTTGCATTTCTCTGAGGCCTCAAGGAGATCAAATATGTTTTCATTTACTTTCTGGACATTGGATACCCTTTTGTGAATTCTTAAGTCTCTCGTCCATTTTTCTTTGCAGTTGTCTTCTCCTCATTAATATCTAGAACTCCTTCCAAATGCTGGCTACGAGTCCTCTCCAGACACATGTGTTATAAATATCTGCTCCCATGCTGTCTCGTCTTTTCACTCACTCATGGCCTTCTGGTGAACGGAAGGGCTTAATTTTGGCATAGCTCTCTCTCTTGATTTCCCTCTTCTCTTGGACTCTGGCCCCGTTTACTGCCTTGAAGCACTCCAGTGCTTTTAGGCAGAGTCTACAAAACAGTTTCTGCAACTTTTCTAGATGTTCTCGGTGGAAGAATTGGGCTGAACTGCCTCTAGCAATCACCATTAATTTGTCTAGTTCTTTCTTCTGGCATTTCCACACTTACAAACATATATTCAGAATGCTATTTTTTGATTGAACACTTTGGGCAATGTATATTGGCTTTATATTGCAGTAATTAAGCATTTAATATCTTACACTTGTATGCCATAGTCTCTTATCCTCCCAGTGTAGCCATTTCGTGGTATAAGCCACATTTATTTTAGATTATATCAAGACTGTCTTAAACACTATTCAGTGCAGCTGCATGTGGTTGACAGTTGTGTTTAGGGTGATGGGGAGGATTCTCTTTGAAGTTTTCAACAGCTGCAATCAATATTCCAGATTTTCCAGAAGAATCTCAATGTCAAATACAGCGAGCCCGAGGCATTTTTAGAGGGCACTGTAGCTGTTCCTGCTATTTTGGAGTGGAATTTATCAGCTTGCTGAGAAGGGAGGGTCCCAGCTGACCTCCCGGGACTCACCTCTCCCCAGGGCTCTGCGGGATCTCTCCTCTCAGCAAATATGCAGCAACTCTGCCACGTGAGAAAGGGCAGGGGAAATGGGCTCAGAGAGAGCTGCAGCTGTTGCGCCTGCTGATGGAAGAGAAGACAAACAAAGGCGCTTCAGAACGTTATGGGATGTTTTGGGATGAATTAAAGGTGCATGTTGAATTCAGTCGCAGCCAGGATGTATGGAGTGAACAGTTCCATGAACTCTAGACTAAATGCTTTTTAAGTATGTTTCACTGGGAACATTACCTTCTGTTTGTGCTTTTAAATAAGAGGATTAGGCAAAGCTCTAGGAGGGACTCCTGTATTTCAACAGTCATCTCTACTCCAAGGCACTGTTCTCATAAATCCTGTCACATTTATCATCGTACACGCCCCGGACCTGGTTTGGAAGATCGAGTGAAGGTGTTGGTCGCCCACAGCAAAGGAGTCTCTGGTGTTGCCCATCCCCCACGCCAGAGCCAGGGAACTCGTTTCCTGAGCTTCTGGTTGGGGCACCTCCACCCCGCTCCCATAGCCTGGGAACAATGATGACAGAGGAGCAGGCGAGTCGGGAAAGACCCACCTGAGACGCCATGGCCTTTCCACATCCTTCCTGAGTGGTGGTTATAGCGCTTCTGGCAGCAGTACTGTGTTGCGCTGCATTTTTTTAGATTTTATTTATTTATTAGAGAGGTAGAGTTACAGACAGTGAGAGAGAGAGACAGAGAGAAAGGTCTTCCTCCCGTTGGTTCATTCCCCAAATGGCCACAACAGCCAGAGCTGCACCAATCGGAAGCCAGAAGCCAGGTGCTTCTTCCCAGTCTCCCATGCAGGTGCAGGGCCATCTTCTACTGCTTTTCCAGGCCACAGCAGAGAGCTGGATTGGAAGAGGAGCAGCCGGGACTAGAACCAGTGCCCATATGGGATGCTGGCGTTGCAGGCGGAGGAGTAACCTGCTGCGCCATGGCACCAGCCCCTTTTCGCTGTATTTCTTAGCACAAGCTCAAGAAAACCATATGCAGGTACACCGTGTTCCTTCCCTACTCTGTGCCCCTCCACCCCTCCACCCCTCCACCCCTCCACCCCAGCCCAGCTCCTGGCTATTTGTCTAGGCTGTCACTGTCCCACTACCATGCTCAGTCTTTGGAAATTAGGGTCGGCGAGTTTCTTAGAGCCTGTGTTCTCTTCTTCCTCACCACCAGCACCTCTGTGGGGATCCCATTCTCATGGCCCCACCTGCCCATCCTGGGAGAGTCTACTAGCAGCCAGCCCTGCCAGAGACGGGCTGGGCTTCTCGGGACACCTCATGTACCCACCAGGGACTTACTGAGCACATCCTGGGATATGCAGGAGGACAACACAAGACTTCAGGGTCCCATGGTCTAGGTTGTCCTCTCACGTAGAGTATAGAAGCACACTGTGTCACATATCAGAGGCAGGAATCTGTTGGGTCATGAGGAATGGGTGGTTGTGCGAGGCTAGGAAATGCACCAGGCAGACAGGAAGTGGGAGTGTGGAGAGGGAATCCCAGCAGGAGGAGAGGAAGAAGCGTGGACAAGGTGTGCAAATGGGAGCCTCTTGTGTGGTCCTGAAACCTCATGTGCTCTGTGATGATTAGCGAGGATGGGACAGAGAACACAGGGTCTTACAGAGCTTGTAGTCTTGGGGGTGGGTGGCCAGATAGGGCCACAACTCTCACAGGAGGCGGTACTAGTTTCAAAAGAACAAAAGGGAGAAGGGACTTTGGGATGGAAGGAGTTTAGGGGGCTTCATGGACTGGATTTTGAAGAACATGTAGGATGGCAGGCAGAGATGGGAGAACATTAATGAAGAGGCAGAGTGGGGTGTGCATGGTGTGTATAGAACAATCCCACTTCTTGGTACAGGGCAAGCTCAGTCTCATGGACCCAAAAAAGGGGACCCAAGAAAGCTGAGATGAGAACAGCTTGTGTGTGTGTGCAACTATGTGTGTGTTGGAGGAGTAAGGGTTGGGGAGCACGGCGAGGAGAAGGGGATCCCAAGTCGACGTAGATTCCTCAGCCTGCAGGAATGACCTGCAGTAATGCTGGTTGGAGGAGGCTGTATGTGAGGCTATAGGCTAAGTTTGGTGCGTGTTCCTTGGTTTACATTTTCTTAATGCTCTTGCACAAAGACATTTCTGTATTAATAAACACAAAAAGGAAAATAATGCAAAATATACATCAATTTATTTTGAGATTATAAAAAATAAAACTCCAAAGAAATTGCAACGGTTCCCAGATGGCCTCGCAGGCTCCGCACTCTCTTGTGGCCGTTAGGGCAATCATGGAAAAGACCCAAGAAGCTCTACCATCCTTTGACAATCTCATTGTCACAGCAACTCTGGTAGGTGGATGTTATCATGCCTGCAGGTGAGAAAACTGAGGCACACAGCAAGGGTGTAACATGGCACACAGCTAAAAAGCAGCAGAACCAGGACTCAATCCGGATCCATGCACAAAGTCCATGTTCTTTCCATAATAGCCTGGGGATCCGATAAATGAGGTGTGGTGGGAAATAAGGTCCACAAAGTAGGTTGGTGCTCAGTCATACGAGGTCTTGAATGCCAGGATGAAAGAAAGGTCGTGTGCAAAAGAATGCTGGGGGCCCACAGCGTTGGACCCAGAGGAGCTGGAGATGTGGACAGGAAGTACAGTACGGCCACAAGAGAGGCAGGCATTCCTGTCCCAGTTTCTTGGAGGCCACCGCTTAATCTTTAGGAGAGGGGGTGGCCTGCACCTGCTGTTCATCTTCTTTCGTCTTCTACTTAGCATTGTTTTTGCAGAGCACAGAAAACTCAGTCATTGAGCCTCCCCTTCTTGATTGAATGCCAGAGCGCGGGTGCCAGACACCTGTAACTTCTCCCAAGGTGCCCTTTCCTGGCGAGGGCGCATTCTGCAGTCGATACATCAGGGGAGAACAGTATTATTGGGTCTGAAAGGAAATCAGTGGATAGGGGGGACCTCGAGGGGCAGTTCTAATTTTCTAGATCTCTTATTTTCCATTTGGAGGTCAGTGAGACAAATCATCCTGTTGACACGAGCATCAAGAGATTTCTGTTGTTTTCACAGTAGGAAAGCGACTCCAAGAAGGGGCCCTGCAGTGGTATCGGTGCACAGACAACACGAAGAGCTATTTGCAGCTTCAGAGAAATTGCACACTGCTCCTTGGACTAGGAGATGGTGGCCAGCGTTTGCATCACAATGTTTTCA